CTCTCTCTCTCTCTCTCTCTCTCTCTCTCTCTCCCTCTCTCTGTCATCATCATCATCATCATCATACATGGTATTCACATCGAATCATGATACAAACAACCCCACCCCCATCTGTTGACCTCAACTTTCGTCCCCCATCCCAAAGGTGTTCGAGACGGGCCGACGTAACCGAGCCACAGCCAGCACCAACATGAACGAGCACTCTTCCCGCTCCCACTGTCTGTTGTGCGTAACTGTCAGGGGAACTAACCCAACAACTGGATCAACATCTGTGGGTAAGTCAACACATATTGCGTCCCCTTGCGGTGGCATCTCTTTGGGGAGGATTCAGGGAGGTTGGACTGCCTCACCCGCTACCCAAGAGAGGCGGTGGCCCTGGTGAAGAGCACGCTCTTCGGGGCTCCAAACATTTCGAACGGATAGGTTACCACAAGCAAATACAAACAACAACAACAACAACAACAACAACAACAACAACAACAATAATAGCAGCAACAACAACAACATCAAAACCGAAATAGATGATAAAATAAGTTCCCCAAACTGGAATCGAACCCACGGCTTCCGTGTGCAATACAAAAAGCACAAAAAGCACCGTTATTACAGCACCGGCGTCAATGCTCGAGACAGAATTGTCTTAACTGTTTTAGATCGTCATTCTTTGAAAGGACTTATTATTACTATTTAGTAGAGGTTTTATGCCTAAACATCAAGAAAACCGAAACAACGGCGCTCGCAACTGCATAAGGTCATATGAGCGCCAAAGGACTTCATTAAGCAATCAGGAGACTTGTAGAGAACAAAGTGTTCAGAATAATCTGATTACGGCTGGGTTATTTACTGCCCCCTTTCAAATTGAGAGAGAGTTTTGTTCACTTCTTTTTGGTTGTTGATATCCCTTGGGGAACAGAAAACTGTTGGGCGATTTTTAAATTATTTTTTGGGGCGGTGGTGGGGGGTCTAGGGATGGGTACTTGCTTGCTTTAAACATAATTTTATATCATCACCAAGTGCCAGACTGATCTGAGAGAGACATTAGCTATCCATTCTTTTGCTCGGATACACTTTTTTTTTAAACCAACTACGTTGTCCTGATCTTTCATCCCCGCCACCCGTCTGTTTAGGCTCCTTAAGTAAGTTGTTCTGGGTTTGCATTCACATGTGCCTGTGAGAGCAAATGTTCAAGATATTATAAAGATCTAGAATCTGCATTTTGTACATATTTATGACATTTTTATATTTCCAATCACATAAATGTTCCATGTTTGTCCACTTTAACACTCTCTCTAACTTCATGGGTCTAGCACCACGTTTCTAATACTTTGTCGAGTCTTGACTTCTTTTCTGCCATCACTACATTATTTCCAACAACATCGCAGTCTTTGAGTTAAGTGATTGAAATGGTAAATAAACCCCAAACAAAATCGCGTATAGACAAACAGATAAATAAACGAACAAACAAACAAACGACGAAACTCACCCCACTGCACAAATTCCGAGTGAAAGGAAGACAACACAGTCAGATTTGACATTTTACGTTCAGGTCGCCTCAACCTAGTTGACCTGGCTGGATCTGAGCGACTCAGCAAGTCCCAGGCAGGAGGGGCGAGGCTGAAAGAGGCGCAAAACATCAACCGCTCCCTGGCCTGCCTCGGTGACGTCATACACGCCTTGCGCAACAAGAACAGCCATGTGCCATACCGGAACTCCAAACTGACCTACTTACTGCAGGATTCTCTGGGTGAGTGGTCTCGCCGTTTGTTTTGTTTTTTAATGGTTTATTTTTAATCTGTTTTTAAAAAGTGAGACCACTTTCTAGATTCTAACAACCGAACAATAAATTATATGGGTCACAGGATTTCATAGTTACAATGATGCTATAGCCCTGATGTGCTTTACTCCAAATCATGGAAGGGCAATTACTCTAAGGTATGCGTGCACCCGTCCTCTCGTCCTCTCTACACGAAGAAATCTGTTGTGAGAAAGAAGAGAAGAGAGGGAGAGGGAAAGAGAGAAAGTGAGAAAAAAAGTGAAAGGGTATATGAGAAAGAGAGAGCTAGATAAAGGGAAGGATATGGAGAGAATATTTTGAAGTGGGAAGTGTTTATGGAGTTGTTGTTTGTTTTTGTTTTGGGGGAGGGAGGGGGCAGACAGATAGAGAGACATGCAAAGAGTAGTAAGTGAATAAATGGAGAGTCCTACAGAGAACAGGTTCCTCCTTTCTTTCCTTTTCGCCCCCCCC